TTTTTTTTTTTTTTTAATGCACCGTTGCGGCTGGCACAGTGATTTATTAGCATCGCAAATTAACGGCTGATTTCATTTTTCTCTGCCTTCTGCCTCCCGGGTGCAAATAAGAGAAGTAATAAAAACGGAGAAATTGGCCTAAAATGGCAGCAATTTGGACGTCAGTAATTTGGACGTCAGTAAACAAGCCGCCTGGCTGGAGCTCCGTCTGCATTACAACACACTATAAATGGAAGAAAGTCTGTCACTAAATTCAGGTAAAGAGTTTTTAAAAGTCTGGTCGGAGCACATCTGTAGCATGAACGCAGGACTGAAAAGACTTTAAATCTCCAACAGCTGAATGTATGGATTCAGACCTGAGCTACTGAATTTTGTTAATTCACTTTTTTTTACTTTAGCTTATAGGAGTTAGCCATTTAAAATGAGCAAAGTCAAGGAATAGTGATTATTTATTTGAATTTATCACATAATCATTCAATCATTTATGTAGAGTCGACTTTTGGAGGAACAAATCTTGGCCATTAAGAACTTTTTTTTTGGGAAATTACCTCAGCTCAAGTTCCCTGTTGCGACAGAGAACAGTTGTTCTTTAGTTGCAAAACTAAAAAAAAAAAAAAAAAAAAAAAAAAAGGGGAGCTATCAGTCAGTATTCAAGACGTAGCCAAACTCACTGAGGTGGTCGAGGAAAAAAAGAAAAAAAACGATTTGGCCCGACAAAAACAAGTTAATCCATGAATGCAGCACAGATTTCTACGTTCTCTGAGTGATTTTCTTTTATTTATTCGTCCTTGACAAATCTGAAAATATGATGACAAGTGCTGCGCAACATGAGCCACTGCCAAGATATTCGGTATCTTTATCATAAGACAGACACATGTAGAGAGGCTTCTGTAGTTTGTTTTAGGTGAAATTCATACTAAAGGAACCTTCAGTCTTAGCAGAACACTCGTTTGTGGTTCCGGTGATTTTACTTCACATGAACGGACCTGTAACCTACAACAGAGACCACAAAGACCATCACTAGTGTTATTAATCAAACATTCAACACGTCCATGTTGTATAGCACTTGTTAGAATATTTTGAGCAGAGATTTGAAATCCTAACACCCAGTCAGGTCAAACAACAGACGCCTGATGTTCCTTACAGCTTCCGTTAGCCGATCTCCTCATCTGAGAACCGGGAGCGACTTCTACCATGTGACCACCTGCGGTTCTACCAGCTCCGATAAGAGGACTGTCCTGAATCGATCCCTCCAGACTGTCCCCGTACCTGGGTCTGTGGTGAGCAGCTCTTCCTCTGACGCCGTTATCATCCTTCCTGCCACACAGTTTGGAGAAACAGTCCATCACTCTGCAGCACCGACACCCGTCCCTGCCCTGCCGGCCCAAGAGGACTGTCCTGAATCGATCCCTCCAGACTGTCCCCGTACCGGGGTCTGTGGTGAGCAGCTCTTCCTCTGACGCCGTTATCATCCTTCCTGCCACACAGTTTGGAGAAACAGTCCATCACTCTGCAGCACCGCCACCCGTCCCTGCCCTGCCGGCCCCCCCTCCTCCCCCCCAGGCACAGTATCTCCTGAAAGGCGTATCTGAAGTCCGCGCTGCGGCAGTAGATGAGCGGGTTGAAGGCGGAGTTGGAGTAGCCCAGCCAGTTGAGGAGTCTGAAGATCAGCTTGATGTCTCCCAGCTGGAGGAAGGCCATGAGGATGTTGAGGATGAAGAAGGGCAGCCAACACAGCGTGAACGTGCCCATGATAATCCCCAGGGTTTTCACCGCCTTGTGCTCCTTCAGACAGAGCTTCAGGCGTTTGGCTGCTGAATGTTTTACCTCCACCTTCTCCGCCCTTACCCTGCTCTCTCCCCCACTCTCCTCGTTACTGGTGTCCAAACCTTCTGGTTTCTCCATGTTGAGACTGTCCTGCTCCGACTGCTCTCCAGCGTCTGTCCTGGCCCTGAGCTTGTTCAGGGCAGGGCTGTCGTCCGGATAAGCCGCGGCCGCGGCGTACTGCAGGTGATTGAAATGTTTCTCCCTGCCCCGGATCTTCTCCAGGTGTTTCTGGGCCTCCTTGAAGACCCGGCTGTAGACGAAGATCATCACCACCAGCGGCAGGTAGAAGGAGATGATGGAGGAGGTCACGGCGTACACCATGTTGGTGGTGAATTCACAGCAGTTCTTGTCGGCCAGGCACAGCTGCGCCGACTCCCCGTCTGACACCCACAGCTTCAGGTGGATGGGCAGGAAGGAGATGAGGGAGGCCACGGCCCACACGCACAGGATCACCGCCAAGGCCCGACCCCTGAGGAGGAAGACGGGTGAGTCTGAGCTGCCCCCAAATATTTACAAAGAATTATCTTTCAATACATATGCTGGATAGCATGTGCTAATTGGACAGAGCTAACTCGTAGCAGTGTTCACAGATACTGGTATTTTTTTAAAAAACCTGTTAATTTTTTTTTTTTGTAAAATCTGATAATTCTTAAAAATAATTTTACTATGAAATAAATTAATAATATGCTGATGTTACTGCACAGAAAATATTCTAAATGTACAATGCCATATTTTGATAATATTTCAATTTCACCTTGCTGTTTTGTAATATTAATATTGTGTTTTTACTGTGTAAAAAAAAAACAAATGTCACTGTTGAATATTTTAAAATATTCTTACAGTATTTTACCGTGTAATATATTAATAATATGCCAACTGTACTGTGCAGTGTTTTAAAAGATTTTTTTTTCAAAATGTATTGTGTAAATTTTATATAATGAAATTATTATATAAAATTATAATATTTACATTATAATTTAATATTATAATAATTATAATATTCAGATTTCACTCTACAATATTTGTATTCTATTCTGGAAATACTGTGTAATATTTTAAAAAAATATTCAAATATTCAAATTCCTGTATAATATATATATTTTTAAAATTGGAGTGAATGTATTCACCACATAGACTTTGTTACAATTTTATATTTTACATTTAGTGATGTATACTTGTAATCATTATTATACTTTATTTAATCCCCACATACAGTACACAGTACACAGTACACAGTACACAGTACACAGTACACAGTACACAGTACACAGTACACAGTACACTCCTGTCATTTCCTCTGGTCTGTTGACCTTACCTGGTCAGTAGCATTGGGTAGCGCAGTGGCCTGGTGATGGCGAGGTAGCGGTCCAGAGCGATCACACACAGTGTTTCGATGCTGGCCGTCACACACAGCACGTCCGTCGCCGTCCAGAACTCACACATGAAATTCCCAAACTGCCAGCGCTTCAGCAGAATGTAGCTGGAGCCGAACGGAACCACCACCAGACCCATGATGAGGTCAGCCACGGCCAGAGAGGCGATGAAGAGGTTAGTGACCGTCTGCAGCCGCTGGAACCGCAGGATGGCCGTGATCACCAGGACGTTTCCTGCACAGACAGGAAGTGATGTTTACAGCCACCACACCAATCAGTTCCACAATTCAATGTTTGTTTGTTTTTTTTTTCACTTACCAAAAACTATAGCTAGGACCAGGATGGCCATCGCTACGCCCAGCAGAACAACGTCTGGATCAGCGTAGTCCGAGTTCTCTGAAGAACCTGAGATGTTCTCTGGACGTGTTTGGTTTGTCAGGGTTGACCAAGTTACTGGTGCTGCCATGATCTGCAGTCATAACACAGAGAACAGCAGAGCTTGAGCCACAACGTAGGAGGAGAAAAATGCTAACGAGCTAACTAGCCTCTTTTTTTTCTGCCTTTCTTTTTGGTAAATTCTTACCTGTATTTTATCTCCATTTTTGTGAACAATTCTTTTTAGTTGACCTTGATGATGCCTTGAAATTAATTCGACTTTGTTTGACCAATCAATTTCAACAATTACTCATTTATCAAGCTAGCTACTTTAGCTAACCTTTTAGCTTTGTCGTGCTAGGACGTTGCCACATTTGTCCACTGGGAAAATCAGCTGTAGTTTTGCTTTAAGCTTCATATTTGACTGACTTCCTTCACTCTGTCCCAGAATAACACATTTAATGTCGCATGGCAATAAAAACAGATATTTTTAAATACTTTTTAATGTACCCTACTCATTTAGCAGAACTCTTTTATGACGTATTTTGTGAAGATTCCCTACTCATTTAGCATTTTACTCTTTTATGACGTATTTTGTGAAGATATTAAAATTCATGAGTTGCTCATTTTTCATGCATGAACATAGTTTTTTTTTTTTTTTTGAAGTGCTGTGGCACCTCTTCAACTCCTGCTTTGCTTGTGTTTGTCTTGGATCCAGCAGTTTGTGTGTGTGTGTTTATGGGATTTTCACTGTTGATTATGGACTGAGCAGGATTTGTACCAAAGTGTTTTTGGGGACCGGCCCAAGGGTTGGGTCAGCTTTGGACGTTAATACTTTCTTTACCCTCCAGGCGTGGGTGATTAAGGTGTTATTTAGACTGACAAAAAGTACTCAGTCAGGGGTTTAATGAAGTCACGGCGCTTAGACTCTGAGCCTTTTTTTTTATTACAAGCTTAAAGGCTCCCCGACAGCGGGGGTGTCCACTTTATTTTTAAATTTCAAATAACAAAACCATTTGTCCACACTGGGGTTATTAGAAGTGTGGTTTTATGCAGCTAGCATGAATGTTAACCTGGCGAATGCTAATGCTAATAAATGAGTCCAAAATAAACCTGTATTTTACAAATTTATCAAAAACAAAAATATTTAACAATGAGTAAAAATCAGAAATAAAAAAATAATAATTAAAAACAAGTAAGAAAAGTGTATTTAATTTAAAGGGATAGCCAAAAGATTTGAGTAGCACTGCTAATCTGAGTTAGGTTAGCTAGAGTTTTCATAGAAATTTAAGAATATAATTAGAAATTCTCAAAGAAAAAGTGAAATGTTTGTAGTCTACCAATCACAGTGGCTCAATAGTCTAACAAAAGAACATTTAAAAAGATTGAATTTTGAGGTTATTTTTCAAAGATAGGAAAAGAACACAAACAATCAAAAAGTGTTGTATCTGTCCAGATAGAGGAGACGATCCTCCTGGTCCTTGGACTGGACTGTAGCCGCACCATCAATATTAGCGTCTGAGATGGGTCAAATTATTGAATGTTTTTTTTTTTTTTTTTAGATAATGAACGAAGACAGTGTGAGTTTTTTTTTCTTTCTTCAGGACGAGGGAAGCTGTGCATTAAAAGCCTCTCTCTTCAGCCGAGCTCAGGTCTGAGGGCAGTCACCTGCCGATGCCTGTTGACTGTTGTGATTGTTGTGATTCCTCTGACTGAATGGAAAAACAGCCCCGTCACTGAACAGAGTGAGTAATGGTCCGGCAGTGATGAGAACCCTGTCTGTGGTTCTCGGTTCCTGTCTGTGATGTTCATGCAGATGAACGTTGAAGGGGAACAGCCTGTGCTTCTTTACTTCACTTCCACAGGTTGTGTGTGAGCACACACACACACACACACTTGGCTTCTTACAGTGTGAATGCTGACTGCGCTCCGTCTCAATCCCAGAATTCACAACACATGAATGTCGGCTGTAAAAGAACTCCATTCACTCCTGGCTGTTTATCCAGCCCTGCTGCGGTAAATGAGCAAAGTGTTGGACTTTGGGATTGTTTCAAAACGTCCCGCTGGACCATGATGACACCATCCTCACCCCCCTCCCCCCATCCTCCTCCCCCACCAGGGTGATGGATTAGTGTGAAAATTTAAATCAATTTTTCATACATTCTCTGACAAATTTAATTAAATTTTAACGTCCGGCCGTTAATGATAGATGATGTAGTTATTATTCAATCCATACTTGTGTCACGCCGGGCGCCTGAGAACTGATGACAGACTTCAGGTTAATAGACTGATTGATCGTATTCCTTCGTGTCTGCTTTGTTTTGGCCCCGTGTTGATTTATTAAAAACCAACAGAACAGAAATTAAGAAAGAGACTCCAGGCCACGAACCTGACGGATTAAAAAAAAAAGACTGTGGAAAAACACTAAAAGGTGAACATAAACAACAAGTGCATATAATATAATATACAGTCTGACAGCAAAAACATTAATAGAATTAAATGCAATTTAACTAAATGAAGATATTACTGCAGTAACATTGTATTTCCCCAGTTGTGCAACGATATCCCAGTGGTCAAATCATAGACTGTTCATAAAAACAGAACAAACCTGAGAGCAGGATGACGGAGCACATTAATAATCATTAAAGTTAAAACTAAAAAAGTTAAAGTTAAAACCAGAGGAAAACCTTCACCTTTTTCCTGCATCTGCAAATGAGATGTGGCCACTGTGTCCACTTCCTATTTACAGTCTCTGGTCAAACCCATAACTAAAGCCCAGCTCCGAATCGTGGTTTGAGCCACTAAAACAGCAATAAACACAGGAAAAAAACGACTTAAAAACGCTACAGAAAACACTTCATCTGAGGAAACTCCGTGGTGACGAGTGTAACCAGAACATAAATCAACAGCTCATGTGCAAACAGAAACACCCAGGCTCAAGGGCTCTGACAAACAGGTGAAAACAACTCTTTTGAGCAAATCTGTCTGACAAATCAGGAGGAAGGAAAGAAAAAAAAAGAAATTTAAAGAACAATTCATGAACATGGCAGTTCGTCTCTTTGGTTTGTCTAATAACGTGAAGTAGAATTACACGTCAATCATTGATTTTATTTTCTCTGTCCACTGGTGAAGTTTAGCCTTCACACTGATTCTGATTGGTTGTTAGTCTTCAGTGATCAATCACAGTCATTTACGACCCATTTGAATGTGTCAGGGGCTGATGGGAAGTCGTCCTCTGGGACCAATGATGTCCTGCAATTAACAACCAAAGTGGCTGACAGTGATTTGGAAAAATAGGGTCTCTGGATTAGTCATCTAAATCATTGTTTCCCAAAGACTGGGTCGTGACCCTCAAGTGGGTCGAAAAAAATTTTTTTGGGTCGCAAAGGTTTGTGAGTTTTCAAAATATGGGTCCCCCAGAAAAAAAAGGTTTTGGAAACACTGATCTAAGTGACTGATCAATTATTAGCATAATTTGCTAATAACTCAGGGAGGTCTGTGTCAGGAAGGATGTTTTTTATTTTTATTTTTTTTATGGTTTTTCCAAACACTGTCAATTCAAAACATTCTCACTACTATAACCCAAACAGGTTATAGTAGTAAATGAGATTCTTTCACCACTGAGTCTGTGAAAAGGTACCGACCGCTCCTGATAACATCTCAGATCGTGGTCGGTGATACATTAAAAACTGGGTTTATAGAAAGGAAGGACGTTGCATCAGAAATTGCATCCTTCTGAGAGGAAACCTTGTCTGATGTCGTCTGAGATCCACCAAGAGTCGAAGGAAATGATTTCTTTAGGATTTAATTTCTAATTATTAAATTCTAAATACATTATTCTAGCTTTTAGGACTCTATTTTTTCTTCTATTTTTTTCTTTCTTTAAATTTAGTGTTTGACTCACTGATCGATGAGAATGCACCAAACTGCACTTCTGAATTTCGAGATAAATACTGTGTTATTTGATTGTACTTGAAGTATCTGTGAAGATGTCAGGCTAAAATAAATCAAACTCTGGGTGAAGCAGCCAGATAAAGTAAACAGGGAGGACAATAAACGTGGTTGTAGTTTATAAAGATATGAAGAACGACCGCCTCATATATCATGTGCAGACGTCGACACGCACTTACTCTCAGTTTCCCTTTTTTTCCCAGGGTTCGTCCGCGTCTTTAAAATCCAGAGAAGTTTTAATCCAGACGCCTTCAAATCCACACACAGTTTCATCCTAATCTGTAGCTTTTCAGCAGCTCTTCCCCTCGGCGGCGGCACAGCTGCAAAAGTCCGCGATTGTGTGCGCGCGCGGCTCACACGCGCACACGCGCACACCACTTGTCATCCCGTCGTTCCTGCACACACACACACACACACACTTGTATGGACACACTCCTGCGGCTCTCAGCCACACTTGCCCTTTCACCGGCAGCTGAGCCAGAGACCCCGTTTTATAAGCGGAGCCCGATGACATCACGGGGGAGCAGCAGCCTATCAGAGGGCCAGGAATGGATTTTACAGTATATCACATGTCCGCATGTGTACTTGCAGCTCAACTGTCAAAACAAGTTTTTTGTTCCTTCTGGGCTGTTTTGCAGCCGTTCAAAATGAAAGTCACAATGTTTCATGTAATAAAAAATAAGTTAATTGAACAAAAAAAAAAAAAAAAGAAAAATAATGACAGATGTAGGTTGTTCCAAGAGTAGTAAATGGCCAATGTTCACACTTGAATGTATGATAAGGTGCCTAAAGAGGAACTGCTGTACTGTACTGTACGAGAAAATCAGGAGTGGGGAGGAACTGCTGTACTGTACGAGAAAATCAGGAGTGGCAGAGGAGTATGTGAGGGTGGTGCAGGACATATTTAAGACCTAGATTTTGGATTTAATCCCTAGACCTTGATCCCTGATCGAATCTTGATCAAGGATGGAACTCTGTAAATGATTGGATTAGCATGGCTAACCTCTAGCTTTCTATATTTCAACTAAGCTAAGCTAACACTTCCTGGATTATCAGGCACTTCTGTTAAACAGCACCAGAAAATTTATTTATTTCCCAAATTTTTATGAACCAGTAAACAGTGACGTAACAGCGCCAGTGCAACATTTTCCAGCACACTTCGTTGTAATAAAAAACATCTCAGGCTTGAACAGGATGAAGAAAGAGACGCTGCACTTTCCTCCTCCAGGATGAACACTGTCTTCTGTCTTTCACGTCCTGGATCTGTCTGTGCCATTCAGCATGGTGAAAAACAGACCACAGGGAGTTCCACAGGGATCAGTTCTTGGCCTACTGCTGACACCCGTACGTTCTTGTCCTTTGGTGCCTTTTTTTTCCGCTCCCTCATTAAACCTGAAACTCTGGCCTCACCGCTGCACTGCACCGACGACGCTGGACTGTTGCCAAAGACGTGTCTGTGAGGATCCCAGGGTGGTTTGTCTTGGACACGACTCGTGTGGAGGATTAAATAGTAGCTGGATTCTTACTGAAAATCAATTCCCTCAGGGGTTTTTATCAACACAAATACATGCAAAATATATAGTTTATATTAGCATAAAGACTGATCTAGCAGCCAGAATAGCAGACCAGTAGCACTGCATCGACCATCAAAGTATTGATTTTCAAAATAAAACATCTTGGTCTAGAACGTACATTATTTTGAAAAGAAAAAAAATCCAAATTATCCTTAAACAAAGAAAGTAAACAGAACTTTGAATGTTCCTTCACATTCAGGGTGTTTCCTCCACACGTCTCTGATCACAATGTTCTGCCTCCTCTGTAGGACCTGAACGTACACAGGCCGTGTCACACGCCACACGTACCACATGTGGTGCAGTCAGAAACACGGCCTGTGAACGCACCACAAACACAGCATTCAGTCCTGGTGCACAGTCAGCTGCGTCATCTGTGAAATGTTTTTTTTTTTTTTTTGTAATTGATTGTTGAAAGATATGCTAGGCTTGTTTTTCTCTGTGGCTTCTTGTTGTGAGAAAGAAAAGACCCATTTAACTCATTACTAACAGTTCAAGTTCTGAGTACATTGTACTTAAAGTATAAACAAAATATCACACAACAATCATAAAATGTTTAAATTCTACATCGTATTGGTAAATTAAATTAAATTACACTAAGTACTTTTTTAAAAGTAAACTTGATGTTTAATATACTGTACTTTGTTACTTCTGTATCTAACAGGATGGGTGTGTTTGATGTTGATTATGTAAATAAATCATATCTTCCCAAATGCAGGCAGACAAAAAACGGACATCGCTGCCTCCTAGTGATTCTACTTCATATTCCGTAGTAAACCCAGAGATAACCTTTGCACTGCAAAAACAGTAGTCGCGGGTCACATGACCATACAAGCGCTCCACCCTGGTGGTTTCAAATGTAGGTTTCATACGTACTGATCTGTTTCTATATAAAGTCTGTGTCCAGACCTGCGTTTGTTCTTTGACAATGTCTTACCTTCATCACCTAAAAGACAAAATCATTGACAGAGATAAGAATTGTTGACTTTGACTGAGATAAAGCCATGGGCAGTAATGTGTCATGTAAAAGTTATAAATGAGACGTCTCTTAATCTGCCAGTATAGTACATGTCAAAAAAAAGAGGAAGTGAGCCTTCACCACATCTACATCCTCATCAGTAAACACTGTTCATGTTAATCATGAGAACTATTCAAGCGTGAACTCTAACATCGCTGTTACTTAACATCCACAAACAAACACATCTATATGTAACCTCTGGTCAGAGGAGCCAAAGTCCGGACCGTTGGTCGTTCATGTCCACAGTGAACCTTCAGTTCATAAAAAAAACAACCAAAAACTTCAACATAAAAACCAAATAAACGACCAGGTCATGTGACTCAAAACATATAAAAAAAATAGCAATAGCTAATAGGTTTGGTTATATTGCTTAGTTAAATCATTTTTTACTTTTTTGTCAATTAATTACATGAAAAACAAATTTGCCTTGATTTTCCCAAATAAAAGCAAATAAAATTACTTCAGCAAAAATAACTAAGAATTAGTAAAACCTCAGCTAACTGGATAGGTAAGTGTATCAGTAAAAAAATAAAATAATAAAAAATAAATACAACATTTAAAAGAGAACATAAGAAAGCAGGAAGTTAGCATTTGTATGCTAAACATTTGACTCAAATACAGAAAGTTTAAATAAGACTAGTGGAAAAACAGCAATTTAATAATTGTAATAGGATTGCTAGAAATGTGTCCTTGAAATAACAAACAATGCTGCAACTAAAAAATTAGCTTAAAAATACATAAATAAAACTAAAATGTTACCCTTCAGTTAGCTTCCTTACTAGCCTAGCCTAGCACTGAAAAAGCTAATATTGCGGTTAAAAATAGAACAAAACAAAAATGTGTCAATAAAAAAAAAAAAATATATATATATATATATAAATGTGTGTTATATAAGTACATAATAAAAGTTATCCAAAATGGTGCCTTGGTCATTTTATGTGTCATATAAGTACATAATAAAAGTTCGCCAAAATGGTGCCTTGGTCATTTTATGTGGTACTTCTATTTAAGGTATTAAACCAAAAAGTTAAACCACTAACGTAGCTACAGTACAGTAGAGTGGTACAGTAACAGTTTAAGGCAGAGGATGAGGAAGGAAAGAGGAAGAGAAAACACATGGAAAGGAAGAGGCGTGGGGGGAAAAGCTGGGGGTTGGGGGGCCATGGAGGCTTCAACGGACAGGAGGAAATGGTCGAAGTGAGTTTCACAGAAAAACACATAAATGTGTAAACAGAGTCACAGCCGAGAGGGGCCGGATGACACCAAAGCCTGGATGCTTTGGTGTTTTCACACAGGTCACAGTGGTTTTCCTCAGCTGCTGCGTCGGTGCAGATGCAGGCTGCAGCGCGGCTGCAGAGTGACACTTCCCGACCACAGCTGTGGTGACGGCCGATTAGATACTAAAGGACTGAAGAAGTTCGAGTTTTAACTTCCATCTGCCTCGTTCTCAACAGCATCAAACACACCGTGTACTCACACTCACACTCTGCAGGTTGACATTTAACATTGTTTGCATGCGGTGCAAATTTCCATGAGGAAAAACAACATCAGCAGGGGGTTTTTTCATAGATGGTCTTCACAATAACACCGTGTGTCGGACATATCCTGTCCATGATGTTCATCACGCACCTCTGAGACTCTGTAAAGTTTCCTGCTTCATGCCAGGCTCTGTTCAAAACCCTCATCCTGGACCAACGTGCTGACCCCGGTCTGCAGAGTTCATCGGGGTCAAATTCAATACATGACGCATCAGTTAACTCCTGGACTCGAACAGCTGACCGGCTTTACTACAAGTCACGTTATTGTTAAATGTTTGGCTGTCTTTGATTTTAAAGACATTTCTACTGGTAAAAGTTGGCCATTTCTCTGCTAACATTTTTAGCTCCGGTACAACTCTAGTTATCTCTACACTACTGCAGGTATTTCTCATGTATTCACTGCTTCAAGTCCTATTATAGAATACCATCATAGCCCCCCCACACCCTCCCACCCGAAATGTGACAGTAAAATCAAACATAGCAGGTTGACGTCTTCATACACTTTAATGAGCAGGACTAAAGAGGAAGAATAAACACGATCAGCCAATCCACACCTTCCCCACTGTATCTGTCATCATTAACGCTGTCACTTCCTTTTCCTGTCTCGCTATCGCACATGGTTCTCATCTCTCTCATCACTCGCTCCTCCCTTCCTGTTCAGTCCTGTGAAACTTCTTCTTCATCTTCTTCAGACTCTGTTATTCACAACCGCTCCTAACGACAGCACCTACTGCAGTAGAATACAATATTATTACCTCGTTGGACCTCGGTCATGTCAACGTGTCTAATTCATTCTAATCTCCTCTTGTGTTTGGTTTGTGTAATCTCATTTTACGTCGTCTAATCTCACATGTAATTCCATGCAAATTCCACACATTTTTCTTGATCTCTTTTCCGGCATCGAGACACACACGTTTACAGTGGTTTAGATTTACAGGACGGTTCTGCTGTTTGACCGCAGCCCGAAGCCTCAGAGAATTCTTTGTCCAAACACAGCTGTTCCGTCTTTGGATAAGGACCAAAGCTGTGAAAATCTGCAGGTTTTGAGAGATGTGAGGAAGGGGGAAATGGCAGACATTAAAAAAAAAAAAAAAGATGTCAAAGCAACTGGAAGATGTCCAGATTATAGCAACAAAGTTGACAGAAGCAGACATTCTGAGTTGTTAAAAAACAGAACTCTCACTGTTTTTTAATTGAAAACAATTGACTCTGTAATTGTATTAAAATAACTGAGAAGAGTCTAGAATGTTACGTAACAGACAGACACTTCAGTCCAGTATTGTATTGCATTGTTCGACAGATAAAGAAAATCACCGTGTATTGTCTGTGGCTTGAATTATTTTCTATGATTTATCTGAATCTCTCTGATCGGCAGCAGCTATAAATCCAAGGGTTTTTTGGGTGGACGTCGTGCCCTTTGAACTCGGAATTCTGAACAGTCAGCAATACATGATGACCCTTTAATCTTAGAGCGGTGACCGTGCCTTCACCTTTATCGTTTCCTGACGGACGCACCCACACCCGCAGCACACAAACAGGGACATCTGATAGTGGGACTGAATACTTGAAATAGTCCTACTAAAAGTCCTATAAGTCCTGTGGTCAAACCTAAGGCTTCAGGTCTGGACTTTGTGTGTGGAACCTGCAGGTCATTACAGAGGAATTTACAGGAAATCCAGGAATGAAGTTCAAGATTTGTGTTTGAATATTTATTAAACTTTAACTAATGTAGTTGAAAAGACATTTGAGTATATGAATGCTCTGGGAATCAAACCCAAGACTCTCTGCTTCCGAGGCAGGCGTGCGATTACGACCAGAATAACTGATGATGGTCTATTCTTTTCTGGGTAAATGTCTAAAAAAAAAAGAACCCTCCATAACAATGCAGTGTGTGGATGCCAGAATATGTTCCTTCGAAGGAACTCAACATTGTACCACCCAGAATATTTAAGTAGAGTTTACCGTGACAATGGATGATTAGTCTCACCTGAACTGCTCCACTGAGGGAAAGTGATTGTGTTTTGGATGACCAGGTGACAACCTGTTGTTCTGACCTCTGCCCACTTCGGCTTGCAAAGTATATAAGCTAAATCACAGCTTCTGTGTCCCAGGTGCCAGGGTCACCGTTCACATGAAGAGGTTTGTCTTCTTCTTCTCTAGTTAAACGTTGACTTCCTGCTGCAGAAACGTCAGCGGGCGGCTCCAGGAAGAGTCCCTGGTGGTGTTGCCAGGTCAGGGCCTGGCATATTGTTTTAGATTATTGGGAAGTGAGTCAGATCAGACTGAACGGTAACTATATAAACATGTGTAAGACTTGTAGGATGTTTGGACCTATGGTATGTAGAACCTATGTAGAACCTGCCCAACGTCAAACAAGGCCACAACAACAATAAGGACACCTACTGAAGGATAGAGTGGAAAAACAAGAGTTACAATCACTTGATAACTGCAGTAAGACTTAACAATATATATAGCAAAATTGCAATTATCTACAAGTTTTTATTTTGTAAAATAATTACATTGTTCAATAATATTTAAGGTTCAGTCAGTTATTAAATTAAAACAGGGCAGAAATATGACTTATTATATTCGTTAGAAAGAGTAATAATAAAAAAAAACATGCGAAAATGATTCAAAAGCACATAACGGAACTAAAAAAGTACAACTTCTGCTTGTGTGTACTTCCAGCCTTTGGAGACGCCTGGTTTCCGTAATCCAGGCATTTGCTGCCCCCTATTGGGATTTACCTAGAGCTACAGCTCAGACCTGTACTCGTTAACTTCGCGTCACTTCCTTTACAGTGTTTTAATTTGATTTACGGCTAATTCTAGAACTCTTAAAATAATTCCGTTTAGTTCAAATTAAGTTTAAGAACATCCTTAAAGGTTATCAGCGGTGGTATCACCGGGTAATGTGGGTCGTTCATTCGTCAAATAGTCAGGGATCGATCGCTGACTTTTCCTCGTAGCATGCTAATGTGTCCTTTGACAAACTACTGCGGCTAGCAGTGCTTTTTTTTTTTAATTTGGATGTATTCTAATTTTGGCTATGTTTAATTTACGTCGTGTTTTAATAGTTTTTAAAGTTAAAATGGCGGCATGGCAAATATATGGTGTGTACATTCTAACCTAACATTTTTAACTGCTAAACGCTAAATAAATGTATTCGCTATTGCTATTATATTAAGCTAAGCTAAAAGCTAAAAGAAGGTTATTAATATTATAATAATACATTTTCACCGAATATTCATTTATTTTTTGTAACATTCGTCATTTTTGTCAGCCAACGTTCAGCGTAAATTACTTAAGACAATAAATTGAACTTTTTTATGTATTTATTTATTTTTACTTTTTCGACGTTATTTTTTTAAACATACTGTACGTTGATTTTATAAAGTTAGTGCAGTTACTGGACAAACTACGCCTAATTTTTTTTTTTTTTTTTACTCTTTATAGGACAATTCATCGGTATTATATACGACATACAAATGCAGTTTCCATTTGTTGCCGCTGTTCGGCGCTGTCGCCCCATATCCCGGTCTGAGGACCCACGCTCCTGTCAGATCCTCTTTCAAACTCACTATCCAGCATTTTTCACTCCAGACTCTGGGAACGCACGGCGTGGGAGCGTCCACGGGAGCGCACGAGAGATTCGGAGAAAGGCTGGTCTCCTCTGCAGCGATGCAGGAGCCACAGGGCTGCAGGGGTGGGAGCAGGCAGGAGAAGGAGGTTTAAGGGGAAAGAGGAGCACGGTGAGGAGGTGATGCTGTAGCAGTTTCGGGCTGAGGATTTATCGAGTGGCAGCGTTTTACGCAGGGTGGAGAGGAGCAGCGTCAGAGGTGCTGCCTGCTCTCCCTGTCTGTAATCGGCTTGGGTGAGGAGAACCACAGGGAGAACCCTGCCCAGACTGAGACGGAGGAGAAGAGGAGGAGGAGCAGAGGACACAGTTTGGTGTTCAAGGAGTTCAGCTGCTTCAGCATACTGCTGCTGGAGACAAGAAAAATAAGAAGAAGAAGAAGCAGCTTCAGCCAAGTCTTTGCATCATGAGTGGACCAACAACTAACGGTGAGTGTGATGCAGGTTTTTTCTCTCTAACTTTTCAGGTTTGAGGTCGAATCAGAAACTCGACCGATGTCTGAAGCTTCTGTATGTGGCTTTGTTGGAGGACAGATTTCGAATCATGAATTCTCAGAGATCTTGTTAAGTGAAAGTAAGATTGAGGCATTAGATTGATATCATGGCCTTTGTCCAATTTCCTAACCGTAGACCACAGTTTACAGGAGATTTGACTGTTTAAAAAGTCTAGATATTTGCAGCGTGAATCCACAGACGATCTGAATTTTTGGAAGTAAATCAACGTAAATAAAGTGAGTGTCAATGTCAGCCTGTGTCACACAGCAGAGAGAGTTGATTCACTGTGTTGTAGAGTCATGAGGTCCTTTAACAGGAGGTTCATTTAGTAAATTCTGATCCTATTTAGAGGAAAATACACGTTTAAATGTAATGATGCGTGTGATTTGATTCACGTACCGTCATCGTCTTCAGTACATGCACAGTCCTCAGGTCTGCTTTGTTGTATTTTTTCCTCTAAATGAGATCATGAGTAACAATATTTTCCATTGAAGAAAATCTTGACCTGATTATTTCAGTACAGTTTATTGATCATATTTATATGAATAAATCCCAAATTTTCATTATTGAACTGCACAATGCTCTGCAAATGTCATTGTGATGTTGTGTTAATGTGGGGATGTAGCTCAGTGGTAGAGCGCGTGCTTCGCATGTATGAGGTCCCGGGTTCAATCCCCGGCATCTCCATCTTTGTTTGACATGTAATTTAACTGTCAATTTTTATCATCAGGACAATCGCTAAATTTTTTGACGTGTAACAATACACTGTCAATTTTTATCATCAGGACAATCAATGTCTGTATTAAAGGTCCTGTACCTGAAATATTGTGACATCTAATGGTAAGACAGAGAATTGAAGTAAAAAGACTTTTCTGTCCAGTATTGGCAGCAGCTGCAGCTTCTGTTTTCTCAAAGACGACTCTTTGTTCATTTTAGCTGCTGTGGAACAGAAATGCCGTGCGTATTTAGGAATGTGTGGGTGTCCATATGAGTGTGTACTTGTTCCTGATCAATAATGTATTGTCCTGGGAGGGTTTAACCTGAAGTAGACATAAACAGGCCTCCACTGAGGTTATTGATCACTGGCTCACTTATTGACAGTGTATTTCATCTTGTCGTTAGCAGACTGCCTGTCAGCGGAGGTTAGAAACACAGCACCACCTTCAGTTCTGGAATTACGGAGCTTAACAGTGTCCGTTGGTTTTATATATTTTTGTCATAGAAAGCGTCCGTTGGTTTTATATATTTTTGTCATGAAGATCAGAATTCCAGCTCCGATGCCATGAAGTGATTATGGATTAGTTTCCGTCGTTGCTGAAGTAACCGGGGGGATTTCCTCCCGCAGAGGAAACTCCTACCAACACAGACACTGATTGATTCCATACCATTGATTTGATCAAAAATCTGTCTTTGATTCTTTAACATTTTACCCCAAGAAATTAATAGTTTTGCAGAGCTGAGATATCATAGACGGAAAAAGAAATTAGGAAATGAAAGCTGCTGGTCTTTGATAGCTAGAAGTGTCACCGTGCAGGGAATTTCTTAAAACGTCTCTCTGTCTAAATTTAGAAAGGTTTAAAAAATTAAATCCTTTAAAATCTCTTTCCCCTTCAAATTAAACACCATTCCCACACAGTCTTACAATGGTGTCAGTTGTGGCAGAGGGGCCCGGCTGAGTGACTGTAACTCCAAAATCTCTGTCATTGAAAAGAGTGGATTATCATTTGGCTGACACCACAGGGAGGAGCTTATTGGTTTTTATTCAAGCTGTTTATGCACCAGGTCAAAGGTCAGAATAAATATGTGATGCTGTCAAACTGGGAATGATAAATGGCCTCTGTGAGGC